GAAAACTCCTTCTTCCCTCATATGACAGAATTCAGAGGAAAACCTTCCTGGGACGCGTCCTTGTTCAATAAGGTCCAACTCTCCATGACCCCATTTGGGTTTTTCCCAGCAGAGACACTGGAGTGATTGTGCCACGTCCTTCTCCAGCTCGTATTACAGCTGTTGTGTCTGATGCTACATTTGAACTCAGGAAGATAAGTTTTCCTGACTCTGGGCCCAGCACTTTATCCACTGTGCCACCCGCCTGCCCAGATGATTTGCTCTACCCATATTATTGTCTCATTTAATGCACTGTAGATGGGTAAAATAACCAGTTCTTGTAGCTGACTCCAATTACTGGGGTACAAGGTCATCCCTGAGTGGGCTCAGGGAAAGCATTCTCAGCACAACCTCCATGGCAGACAAGGGGATAGAAGGACATGTCTCCGATTTTCTTCTGCCATGTTTTTTATTTCTTCTGCTAGACCTCTGAATTGGGGGAGCCTTTTCCCCTCCCAACTGGGAGATGACGAATACCTGGCATGATAACACCGATCACATACCTTGTTCTTCAGTTTTTATAAATGTGATGACGGCCCAGCTCCCACCCAAGTGAAAGGTGAACATTGTTTGAGATGTTTCCAGCTCTGTACACGGGGTGTCACAGCCACTTCCAGGAAGACAGCAAGCTTCTGTGTGTAAGTAGTTCTAACCAGCAGGCTGTGTCTTTGGGCTATACGTAATGACGTTATCTTTTTGTTAAAGGAAGTTAATACAGGAGGAAAGGTCAAATGAGACAGTACAAGTACAAGGACGTTTTGTGAACCTTAAAGCGCTCCATAAACATTCATCATGACCATCACCTCTCAATGCACTGCTGGAGCCACCATAAAAATTAGGAAAACCACGACATTTGGAGTAAGTCTTTCAGGAAAAGAATTTCGGCAAGATCTTCAGCAGCACCATCATTACAAACAAATCAACTGTCTAGAGTGCTTGACTGTGGGGCCAATTGACAGGTCAATGTGTCCCGCATGACACCGA